GCGAGGCGGTCCAGCAGCTCGGCTTTGTCACGCTGCAAGACCTCCAGTCGTCTCTTCTCCTCGCTTTTCCTCACGTCCTCGGAGGCCCCTGCCGTGACCCAGTCCTCGTCCTTCGGAACGGTGGCGGCGGCTTCCCCAGTCGGCGCGGCGGACGGTAGTCCTGGCGCAGCTCCGTCTGGGATGTTCCCGGAAGGCTCTCCCGGAACATTTGACCCTTTCGTCTCCGACGCCCCCTTCGCCGACGGCGCCGCCGCGGCGTCCACCGCGAATGCTGGATGGGCCTTCGCAGGGCCACTGGTTGGAGAGAAATCCGGCTTCTCGCAGCGGCGCGTGTTGAGGTTGGGGCGCACGATGCGGTCGTTCTTCGTGATGAAGTGGATGGTCGCCGGCGGCGCCAGGCAATCCCTAAAAATGTCCTGGCGCGGATACCAGCAGCAGAAGATCTCGCCCATCTCCTCCGGCGTGAACGGCAGCCCCTTATCCTCGCGCCGCTGGTCGTTATCGTCCTCGCTGGCCTCATCCTCCTCGCTGGCCTCACCCACCTTCTTCACCTCGGCCTCCTTCATCACTTCCCTGCTGCTTCTCGCCTTCTTCCTCTCTTTCTTCTCTTCCTTGCTGCTCCTCGCATTCTTCCTCTCTTTCTTCTCTTCCTTCTCACCGCGGCCTTCCGGCGCGCTCCGCGACCTCGAACGCGATGAGGCCCCCACCTCGGGCGGAGGAGGGGCGCGATGCCCACGCAAAACAGCTCCCCGATCTCGGTGGCGGTCGTCACGGCGATCTCGATGATGATCGTCGCGATGCTTGGTGCAACGGCCTCCGCCTTCACCGCGCCGATCGCCGCGGTGCTTGGTGTCACGGCTTCCGCCCATCACGATCTTAAACATAGTCGCCGTGATCTCATCGAGATCCACCTCAGCCGCCGTGCAAGGCTTCGACGTGGTCAGCTGCAGCCGCGCAAGCCGACCCTGGACGAAGTCGATGGCCTCGAAGCGGCCTTGCTTGAAGAAGATGGGCTTCTTGTTCTCCACGCGCTCCACGATGCGATGGGCCGTCGCAAGGTCAGGAAACTCCAACTCCACGCTGTGCCCCTTTGCGTGCGTGTTGGCCAGGATGCGATGGCAACGCACGCATGCATCCTCGCCCTCCTGATCCTCACCGCGCCTTGCAAGGGCGCGCGCACGTTCATCGCTGCCCTGCTCGGGTCCGGGGCCATCGTCGGTCTTCTGGTGTAAACGTGGTGCAGGCATACTCTTGGGTCGAGGGTTCCCGGCGGAACTCTCCGGAGCATCGGCTCGAACCTCTCCCGAATGCCTCCGGGCAGGCACCGACAGAGGAGCGCGGCGCCACGGCGCGCGGCCACGACGCTCTTCGGCACTGCCAACCATGCCAACCCAGTGGATGACCGGCCCGTGCGCCTGCCTCGGCACCGGCGGCTTCGCTGAGCTCCGCTGGTTGGGCGATGCCGGCTGGCCACTCTTAGGCCCGGTCTTGTTGCGCGGCTCGCGCTCGCCACTCTTTACCTTGGGGCACTCCGGGTCGCCGCGCCAGTGGCCGGACTGATCGCAGTCAGCACACCGGCTGTTGGCTTTGCGCTGGTCAGTCGTCCTGCGACCCGCCTGGAAGGAGCCGCTGGCGTTGATTTTCTTGGGGCCCCGCTGCCGAAGAGCTTCTGACGTTGCACCGCCGTCTTCTGCTTGGCCCTCCAACCGGCCAAGAACGCCTCCTGAAGATCCTCCGGTGCCTCGCGCTCCTCGTCATCAGGCCCGTCGTTGTCCGACGCCAGCTCCTCGTCGACCTCGGCGCCGTCCTCGAAGAGGATCCCCTCGCCACCTCCGGGGTCTCCGTCGTCCTGGTCGTCTGCTTCGTCCTCGTCGTGCTGCGCCTCCTCCAGGTCGCCGTCGCGTTCGTCGTAGTCGTCACCGTTCTCCACCTCGTGCACGTGCTGGCCAGGGCGGCCTCGAGGCGCGAATGGCCTGCGAGCCTGGGGGGGGGGGCAGGAAGCGACCGCCCGAGCTCCCGGAGAAACGCCCGTGCTCACGCTGCGCCGCCACAAACGGCGAGCGGCGAGGAAGCACAGAGCGCTTCTCGGCGTCGTGCACCTTCGAGTAGGCTGCCTTCAGCACGACCTCCATGCGCTTCGAGTCGTAGACGCCGCCGCAGTTGAAGAGCACCTGCGCGCTCTCTTTGCGACAGCCCAGCACCACGGAGCATCTTGCTCGCCAGCGCGCGATCGCTGATCGCTGAAGTGGGATCCTCGAGCTGCAACTCCACGCGCTTCTTCCGCAAGTACGTCGCCCAGTCCATGATGGGCTGCCCTGCCCGACGGTGGGCGCGCTCCCACTCCTGATGCACCTGATCCAGGCGCTCGTGGTCCATCTTCTCGAAGGCGTCATCGTAGATAGCAAAGATGGTCTCGAGCGTGTCCTCGCGCCGGAGGTCCGACGCGTCGAGAACCTCGATGAGCTCCTTGGCCCGACCTGTCACCTGGCTGTAGATGATCAGGCCCAGCTCCACGTCGGAGAGCAGGTTGAGATTGCGGATGACCACCACGGCCTTGCGCCACTCTCGGTACTTCTTGGTACTCGTGCCGACGGCACCGTCGAAGTCCGGGAGCTTCACCTGTGACAGCAGTAGACGCGCACGTCTGGGACCACTGTCGCCACCACGATCCCGCTGCAAGGCCAGGATCTCCCTCTGGGTCTCGGCCATCACGCGCAGGACCGCGTGCAGGTCCGGAGAACGTGCGCCGGCGGAGGACACCGCCTCCGCGTCCGAGCCGTCCTGGCTGCCAGCCATGGCGGCGTGCGCGGGTGGTCGCAGCCACCCGAGCAGAGCACGCAGTGCGTCCGCTGGAGCTTACAAGCTCCGCTACCAATGTCAGTGCAGATTTTTTTGTTCGGACCGCGCGGCGGTCAATCTGCGGGTGCAGTCCCAGGGCCCTAGGACTAGGGCCAAAACGGCGGCGGGCAGCGCGCACGCCACAAACATGAAAAGTATGTGCATCATGCTTACTATGGCGGCACGGACGGCAGAGGGGCAGGGGAGTGCCCTCTTCACACCATCGTGCGTCGTCGTCGTCGTCGTGCGTCGTGCGTCGTCTCGCGTCGCCGTCGCCGTCGCACCCGCACCTTTGCGCAGCCCCGCCGCCCGCTCGGGTGCCCGCTCGGCCTCCACTACCTCTTCCTCGCCTTCCTCCGTCCTTCCGTCTCCTCCTCCTCCTCCTCCTCCTCCTCCTCCTCTTCTTCCTCCTCCTCCTCCTCCTCCTCCTTCTCGTCCTTCTCGTCCTTCCCTTCCTTTTCCTTCTCCTCCTTCTCCTCCTTATCCTCCCTCCTTTCCTCCTCCTCCTCTCCTCCACCTCCTCCTCCCTCCTCCTCCTCCTCCTCCTCCTCCTCCTCCTCCTCCTCCTCTTGCGCCTCCGCCTCCGCCTCCGCCTCCACCTCCGCCTCCTGCGCCTGCGCCTCCGCCTCCGCCGCCCCTGGCCAGCCCCCACCCCCCACCCCACGTCGGTCCTCTCGGCCAAAGGCTTCCCCGCACACGAAAAACACCTGCGCATCACGACCATCCACCATGCACAATGCCTGACCACCAAGGCCACCTGGGGCTCTGGCACGGTCATTACGCCTTCTAGCAGGGAACCACAAGGGGCCTATACTATACAGCCCTGCAGCCAGGCACGGCGGCGGTGTGCGGGGGGTGTTTGCTGCAGACATCTCGGTTTTCTCGGCCGCCCAGCACCCTGCGGGACGCCCGGCGGGTTTTTTTTTCCCCCTGCGGCGGCGTGGCGGTCGCGGACCCCGCCGGCCAGGGCGCCCGCGGAGCGGCAGCCAGCCTCCTGGCACGCAGCGCGCAGGCTGAATTGTCACCCCCCTCCTGCGTTGTTATTGTTGTCTGCGGCGGCGTGCATGGTGAGCAAGAGGGAGAGGAGGCCAAAGAGGCGGCGTGGGAGGAAGAGCAACAGCAACTCCGCCGCGACGGCGACGGCGACAGCGACAACGACGGCGGCGGCGGCGACGACAGCGGCGGCGGCGGCGCTGGCGTCCGCAGCGTCGACGTCACAGCAACGGCGGCGTCGCAAACGCCGCCGCCGCAAGTTGGCTTCCGGATGTCCCCCGAAGTGGACGCCTTTCGGCCGGCAGCCCCACGAGGCCCGAAAGAGATCCAACGCCACTTCGTGCCTCGAGCACCATCGCCGCCGATGCACTCAATTTCGCCGCCGCCAGTCGCCGCCGCAACAATCGCCGCAATGCGCCGCGCGCGTCGCTGCCGCCGTCGTCGGCGTCGGCTTGAAACGCCCACAATAGATGGCTACGGTGACCAGGGTTAGGTCGGGCATGTCCTCCCACAGGCGGATTTGTAGTGAAAAATGAAAAAAATGACTGAAAACTGCTCAATCATAGTCAGCAGCAAAACTAGACAGTCGTCCCGAGACCATTCTCAAACAATTTCTCAAGATTCCTCCTGCAGGGGGACAGGCCCGACTTAGCCCAAGAGCGCATGTTCACCAAACTGACAAAGGGCCGCTGAAAGGCGGGCGGCGCCCCAGGTCGAATTCGGGCAACGTCCGCGGCGACGCCGACAGCGCGCCCCGTCCAAAGATGGGCAGGAACTGCTGAGTCATGTTCGACACCATTGTTTCCTAGAAGAGGGATAAGAATGCAAATGCGAATAAAACAGAAACTCCATAAACGTTACATTTTTGGCGCTCCGCGCGAATTTCGTGGATCCGCGCTGGGCCCCCCCTTGGCGCGCGGAACGCGCCAGGGGCGGCGCTGGAGGCGCCGCCGGGGGGGCAGGATGTCCGCGCGGAGCGACACAAATTTATGTTCATGGCGTTTTTGTTCTTCCTCGAATGCTCGTCACCATCTTTTCCGTGCCCACATGGATCGCGCCGTTCAGGGGCGGCGCCGCCGCGGGAGCTCCTCTCGCCAGGCATCGGCCCCACGCCCCTGGCGGCGCCCGCGGCGGGGCGCGGCGGCGGCGGCGCGCAGCCGCTCGCCAGCGGGGCGCCCGCCAAGAGGCCGCGCTCCTCGAGCGGCGGAGTGGAGGAGATCCGGGGGAGTTCCGCCCACGTCGGTGGTCCAAAGATTGGGTCCGATGTGATCGAGCCACCCAGGTTATGGTAGCGATTGGGTCTGGGATTAAAAAAAAACGGAATTTGAAAAAACGTTTTTTCTTTCACTGGACCGGCTGCTGCGTTTACTAAATGATGTGTTCTCGCTGACGAGGCAACCTTTTGCGCAACAGGCGAAGGAACCAGCGAACACAGCGCACGTCGACAGAGACGACGAAGGAAAGGTCATGCATTAGGGCGAGAAGATAAGCCAACATAAACAAAATGTAAAGACCCGCAAAGCTGGGCCCTGTGTTCGTCCCACCTCGGCAGACGCTGCAGCTGGTGCGCCGACTACTAAATCTCCCGCGCAAAGAACGACCCGAAAACGCCGATGACTCGAGACGTTTGCTGCGTCGGCCATCAGCCCAGACACCGAGGCAACGAATGCCCCTACAATAACTCTGAGATGGGGCCTGGGGCAGCCAAGGGTAAGCTGGGGTGGGCCCAGGCAACAGTTGGGATGACACGGAAAAATATGGGGCACCGCTATGCCTACATCCGGAACCGCCTGGTCAAGACCGACGAGAAGCGACGGCGCAGCAGGATCGGAGCAGGAAGCGCTGGCTGGAGAGGCGGACGGATCAACAAAAACGGCGCGAGCGCCGTAGCCGCTCGCGGCAAGCGTGGGAGCTTTTTCCCCGGTGACACAGCAGTTCAGGCGCGTAAAAAAGACCAAGTACAACGCAGTCAAACAAATCTTGGAGCGCGTCTCAGGACATATGCACCACTCGTGGTCAACGACGCCACTCCGGATTCACCCTTTGTCGACAGCGGCGGATTCTGGCGCGCGAGGCGCTCGCTTGCAGGCGAGACTTCAAGCGCGCGCAGAACGCCCGCGAGCTCGAGGCGCCTCTCATCCTCGAGATGAGGAGCGGTCGTCGAGCACCAGGGCGACACGGGGCGTTTCAATGGGCGACGCATCTGCGTCTTCTGTTCTGCAATCGCCCGGGCGACGGACAACAGCTATTGCAGGCAAGCCAGTATCGAGCAGGCGCTGTCCTGACAGATCCGCGCGGAGGCTGCTTCCACGTGCACATGTCTGACAACTTGTCCATCCTCGTCGGTGCGGGCACCGCGCCGATTCCTTCGTTGTTACCATCTTCGTCGCCATCGCCATGGGAATGTGCAACAGAGGTTCCGCTGTCTAGGCGCGTCGCAAACATGGTTCTGCGGGGGTGGGTGGGCAGTCGAGAACACGCACCACGACCGACTGGAGACCCGCTGCAGGCATCGTTCTCCACGGGGGGGCGCGGCGGGTCGCGGGCCCCGGGCACGGTCGACACGCATGCTCTCAGCGCCAAGGGGGGCCCGCCCTGGCCCCCGGGCGCCGCGGGCCATTGCCGGGCGCCGCAGAAGAAGACGCTGCGCCTCCCAGAGCGCGCCGCGAAAGGGTGTCAGTCTAGCGGTTTCGACCCCAGCCTCCTAGGCCACCTCGGGGAAGGCCGCGCGGACCGCGATCCGAATGGCGACGCTCGCAATTAAGCGAGGGCCCGTGCTCGCCCAGCCTGGCGGGCGCACCTGAAGTCACTTGGGGGGGGGCGGTTCTCTCCGACCTTGCCGGCCCCGCTGCCCCGCGGTCCAAGCGGGGGCACATGCGCCCTCTCCGCCGCGGCCCAGCTGTCCAGGCACTGTCTCGCACCCCCCTGGCGCAGCAAGAAGCCCTAACAGCGCGAGCAGCGAAGACACATCGCCAGCTCGATCATCGACGATCGCGGCGACTCCAATCGGGCGGCGGCGGACCGCGCGAGGGGGGGCGGGCGGGCGGCCCCGAGAACGCGGCCTCGTTCGGTCGCGGGCCAGCGGCATGGCCGAGAGGCGCGGAGTTGCTCGAGGTCGCCCGCGCTTCCCCCCCCCGGCCGCCCCCCAGGAGCGACGGGGCGCCGCGCTCGCGCGCGCCAGCGCCTCGCTCAACAACGCCCCCAGAGAAGCGCTGGGGCGCGAGGCCAAGGTACTTCTGCAAGTGCCCGAAACTGGCAGCAGCGACGACGCAAGCGAAAGGCCGCCCCGGGGGCGCGCGCCATTCTTCGACTCCCCAGACTCGTTCGGACGGACGCGCCGCTGGCTCGGCGCGTTTGCCGGTTACGACTCGGACGCAATCCGCGGCGCGAGGGCCGCGCCGACCGCCTGTGGAGGGGGCGAGCGGGTCGTCGAGAAATCGCCATTCTCGACGGGCGCTCGCGCGGCGGCGCCAAGTTCCCCCTTGCAAAACCGCAGCGGCAAGCCTGGCCCCCTCAACGCTGCGTCCGACATCCCAAAATCGGACGCCGCCCGCCCCCGGACTCCGCAGCTACGGGGACCGGCGCGGAGGCGCTGGCAGCGGGCCAGCAGGCGGCGGCCGGGGGCAGTCGAGGCGCGGCGCAGCGCCCGACCGGAAGCGCCGCCCCCGACGGCCCCCGCGCGGGAGCGCGAGGTCGAGTCGCGCCCGTAAACATTTCGCATCTCACGCTGGCAGGCGGCGCATATCGAGCAGCAGATCGACGCGGAATTTCATCTCCAACGCCCGGGGGGCCGCGGAGTTCAGGCGGCGGCCAAGGGGCACGAGCGCGGGCCAAGCGCCCCGCGCGGCCGTCGCAGGGGAACTCACGATTTCCCCAGCACTGCGAGCACGCAGAATACCCTCATCACTGCAAGGCCCGCTTCGTAGCCATGCGCGACTTCCTAGACGGGCGCGCGAGAGAGTTCGTCCTCGGAGTCGAAGCGGGGGGCCGCGGCGGGCCTCGCCGGCGCCCGCCCCCCCCAGGCGCGCTCGCTCGCGATGGGCCACGAGGCAGGTCAATCTTCCCAGCGCGCATCTTCACGCGCACCTGGGCGGCGGGGGAGCGCGCTGCACCGCCGCCCCGACAGAGGCCGTCGACACCTGGCTGCCACGACCCAAGCAATGTCGCCGTTTACGGGCGCCTCTGTAACATGATTCGCGCGCTGCGCGGTCTGCAGCTATCCGGTTCGGATTGCTGCCTTCGCCCGGCAGCTTCTTCGGACGCGGGCGCAGCCGGCGACCGCGACCGCGTCGAGGAAAAATATTCGGGAATGTCTTAATGCGTGGAAAATTTCTGTCAGATTGCCGAATCCAGATTCGCATTGTTCGCGGTCGGTTCGGCGCCCCGGGGCAGCCGCGTCGGCCGAGACCACCAGGAACCAAAGTGCCCCCGTCGAGGTCGGCGGGTCGCCCCCCCGAGAGATCCCCAAGACAAAACCCGCTTTGATGTGCTTAGCGTTCCTCGTTGTGCGCGAATTGGAACAAAGGGCAGCGGCAATTCATGAAGAAGAACCGGCTGTCTTCCACCTCTGGCGCGACATGTCCAACCGCGAAGCCATGCGACGCGATGTCCGGCTGCAGGAGTGGGTCGAGGCCGAACGCGGCGCTGCCAACAGGGGCCCCTTCTCCGACGGCCCGCAGTCACACCGCGTGCCAGGGCGCGACGCCTGCTCGCCTCTGGTCTCGTCGCAGCGCCAAGTGCGACTGAGCTCCGAAATGCGCGGCGCTAGGGCAATTCGCATAAACGGATGCGAGCTGGATGCGGGAACTCGCCCCCGCGTTCATCGGAGTCGCGTTCGGCAACAAGGGCCGGGGAGCTGTCCGCAAGTTCCAGCGCAGCGGGCGCCGCGCGCATCGCCGGGCGACCCTTGCTGATGGCAGGGCAGGAGACGCCATCTTGTCCCGATCGGAGCATTGCTGAAGATAGCCCGAGGCTGCGAGGCAGATGTTCGGCCACAGCGCGCGACCCGTCACAGCGCCAGCACAACAGACGACCCCTCCACGGCCATTTGATCTGGCGCCAGCCGAAGCTGGAACTGGTCGCCGTATAATCATTGGCGAGGCTTTCTTCACAACTCATTGGACTAGGCCAGGCTTCTCCTTTGGAGTCGGTCGTCTTGCTCGGCGCGCGGACACATGGCATCCCTGGGGAGATGAAAAGCTCGGCACTTCGTCGGGCACGTCCCCTTCAGCTCGGAACGCGGCCTCGTGATCCTGAGATCGGGCGATCATTGGGGCGACCTGCCTGGAGCTAGATGCTTGCAGCAACGACCACCGGCTTCTATCTGGAACTGACCATTTCCAAAATGCCGCTGCCCTGGGGGGATGCCAGTCTGGACGTTACGAACAATAGTTCTGGAGTCGTAAACGCTCGCCTGGAACAAGACAGCGACACAAAGTTCCAGATTATTGGCATCCATGATCGAATGCACACGTGCTGCCATTTTTTGCCCAGGGCCACCTCGACAACCACGCCTTGCATCTCGCCATCCAAAAAGGGTATCGCCCACACCTTGGGCACCTCAAGGAACGCGCAGAAACGAGTTTAAGCATCTGTACACAATGACGGATACTGCCAGACCGCGCACCTCGGTTCGAACATATCGGTGACGCAGTTACAATTGCACTAAGCCACAACAGATTGATGTCCATTGTCGTCGAGCTGTTCCTTCGTTGCCCAATGTCCGAATGGCTCGATTCAGGTCGGTCTGTTCAGGTTGGCTGCACCGTGTGCCTCGTCATCATCTTCGCGAGCACAATGTGGGAAGCGCGCGGACGCTCCCAAGGCAAACGATGGCCGAACGCACCGCCAGGAATGTGATGTTGGACAGCGCGCAACACCTGGGGCAGCCTGCTGGGAAATGCGACACGAAGCAGCCACTCCACGGCCAACGGCGCGAGAACTTGTGGATCGGCAGGGCCAGCACCTCTGGAAGGCTGACCGCCTCAGAAACGCATCCGGGCAGACGGGGCCACCGCGGCCGCCAAGAAGGAAGGCGACAGTCGCGCTGCTGCGCCACGACTAACTGGATCCGCCCGGTGGCACGCCGACGCGGCCGCGAACGCACCGAAATGGGTCGACAGCCGCAAGGGGCACGAGCGGAACCGTGCCAGGGCAGACCATCGCCCAGAGCTCGTCCGCAGAGCTAGACAACGA